AGCCAAGCAACAAACATGGGGCGCGTTGCTCATGGGGAACAGGCCAATCTGGAGAATCGGGCTAGGTGGGCATGTCATGTAAAGCTGGGTGAATCTTTGAGAAACCTCAATGTGAGCTAGAGACCAGTCCTGATCCGTTTGCCAGCTTGACCCTTAGCAATCCCAGGTGCTTGATGTCTCGCCAGACCACGATATTGGCACCGACACGTCAATCCATGATGCTTTCATCAGTCCCCCTCCTCACCAGCTCTATTCCACGGGTCTCAGCTTACTGATGAAATCAGGCTTGCAAATGGTATGCCAACAGGTCGGAAGGAGCAAAAGTCAGTCTCCAAGGCTCCTCTTCTGGAGGACGCCTCTTGGAGAAATCCCTTCCGGAACCAAATATGCATAAGCTAATCCCTTCCCACAGTATCAGATTGGTGTATCAAACAATGAGGAGTCTAGTTCTTTCTTTTGGAATCGACTTTTCAGAGCAACATTGTTTGATGAACAGAACCTTCAATCCTGTGACCTGTCACTTCTGAAGCCTCGGGCACCTAAGTATCAGTGCAATTGGCTTAACCTGGCTTCTGTTCAATCCAAATCGATCTAGCTCTCCGATTCAATTCAAATGCTGACAATACTTGGCGAACCACCCATGGGAAGTGGCACGTAGATGAAGGACACGGCGCAATCCCAACAGCTTTCAGCAATGCTCCCAAAGACAGGATGTGTAGGTCAAAATTTACAGCGTATGACACCCTCTACCCCGATCTCCCGCCTAGTTGACACAAAAAGCCCCCCCTGGTTTTCTTCGCCGAGGCGCCGTTCCCCTGCTTGGCGGAGGACAAGAACCAGGCCGCCTCCTGGCCCAGGTCCCGGATGTCCTGGTCCAGGTCCATGGCGCACTTCCGCAACGAAACCTTGTGGTCACCGGCCAAATGTCGTGCGCTGTGCTTGGCGGGTCCGCTGAGAGCAAACTGCTGAGCTGCGCTTCCGTTTTTATGCCAGCAGGGCTTGGTCATCAAGCAAATCCCAAGATCATCTCAGGGTATGTTGCCAGTACAAACTTGGCCCAGGGGAGCATTGACTTCATGGATTGCCGGCAGGCGCCAGGATACTGCACCTGGCCAATTTGAGTCAGTGCCTCTCCTGTGGGAATCTGCATATTGCTTCGCCGACTCATTCGCTATCCCCGTCAAGCTTCGAGCCAAAGGTGCGCGAACGCGCAGGCGGCACAAATCTTCAGGACGCTGAAGATGCAGAAGATCTTGAGAACATCCCAAAGCACCAGGAAACAAAGAAAGAATCCGTGTCTTCCATGTGCAGAAGCCATGTTTGTACACCCGCAGGGATTCAGAACAGACCTGCAACCGGGCAGCTCAGTTCACTGCCTGAAAACATGCCCAGAAGGCAACAGCCGGTTTGTCAAGAACATGTGCACTTCAAGCAGTCGCACAACACTAAGTAAACATGAGGCGGAATCCTCGGAAGCTTGGAAAGCGGGCCTGGCAAAGACTTTCCTCGCCATGGACATTGGAACGTCGGCATTTTGGAAAAATAACTTCAGATGCCGATACACGTGTGAACCCCAAAGACTTAGATTTCTGGGCGTGTATTCCGAAGTTGAACCACGCAAACTCGTGCATGATCCTCCCATGGCAACCTCCAGCGCGTCGTTTTGTCGTTTGTGTTGCGAGGGCGAAGCCAATGGCTTGCTGGGTGAGAACTCGGCGCGGCTGGGCCGTGGAGGATGACTTGCCTTGCATCAGGGCGAGAAGGACAAGCATGAGTGCTCCATGGATCCTGGAGAAGCCCAAGGTAATGTGAAAGGTGCAGGGTGGCATAATATGCGCAGCTGATCTAACATGATATGCGAAGCGTAACGCAACGCAACACTGTGACATATAAGCAAGCTGAGGCAACACATGGTGTGACGCCCAAAACAGCTCAATGTAGCCCAGGACTAAAACGAAAAAAAGGATCGCGCATGATTGTGTCAGGGTTCTTAGAGGCATGGAAGTTTGTGTGGCCAACATCCACGGTAATGCGAGCTGTGACGACGTAGCCTAAAGTACATAGTAATATCATCGTGCCACATCAAATCAAGGTAATGCAAAGGTGACACGATGTGATGTGATATAAGGCAATTCCAATGATGTGGAATGCATCGTGTTGTATGATATTCGGTTGCTGCCGGTGTCGGAGAGTTGGTGCGCGATGCATGGAATTGGTTTGGCTCACGCTAACTTAAATTTGTAAGGTTCATTGCATGATTATTATTTTGCGCTTTATATGATGTTCCAACGCTTCTATCATGAGCTTGACTGTGTGATGTGTGTGTGCCTGTGGCCGCACTCGTGTTTGGCTGAACGTTTGTATGAGCAAACGTATGTGTATGCATGTCAATGTGTATGATGATTCTGTGGATGGACAAAATCCTGCAAAAGGTGGGATGGATCGAACCCTAAACATACTACAATAAACCACCTACCAACTGGTGCAGGATTTCGTCCATCCACAGCATGTCAGCATGTAGTTTTGCGTGTGTATGGGTGTGTGTGTGTGTTCTGTGCCGTTGCATTGTTTGTTGGCTCGCTTTCTTACGTGTCTGTTTGCTCCATCGCTTGAGTCTTTAGCGTAGTTGTGACTGTGCTCCAATGCTAAATAATATCACGCATGCCAAATGTGTTGACCTGCCTGGGAGGTTTGGCTTATGCTTTCTGGAAGCTGTCCTTCAAAACACTAGATCTATGCACGGCAAATAGAGGAATTTTGGGAACTAGGCCGACAGCAAAGGCGTGAAGGCCTATCTGATTGGAGCTGCTAGAATGGAGATCGGATTTTGTCAAGAAACCCCATTTCCTACTGCGTTTACAGTGGTGACAAATGATCAAAGTTCAAATCATTCATGGCTGCAATTCCAGCTTAGCATGGGGCGTGTTGGGCCTGCCCAGGGTATTTCCGCTCATCCCACGGCCTTCGCCCTGCCACTGAAGCAACTGGGCAATTGGCTGCTTTTGTGGACATCCGGATTTCAAACACTGCTGTGGTGGACAAAATCCAGTGTACGCGGTTTGTCCCAGTATTCCTAGAGTTTCATTCATGCGAACCGGTGCAGGATTTTGTCCATCCACAGTATGGAACGACGGCCAATTCAACCAGGGAAAAGTCTCTGAAGTACCAGTTTGGAAAGTCTGTTCGGACTGTTTGATCCAATCTACCGGTGCCCCTGGGAGTACCTGCAAAAGGGGGTTCCACCCACTCACCCGGGATCTCAATTCCTTCGACCACAAGCATTTGTATATTCTAAGGAGATGGCTAATTAGCGCAAGAATGGTACAACATGGGTGACTGTTTGCTTCCCTCGTGCAAGTGCAATCAATTTCCCAGGGTCATGACAGCACCAATGTAGGCTGAAGTTGCCGCCCAGAAAGGTCTCTATGTTGTTGTTCTTTACATTGCCCACTTAAATCAAGCGGATATAAAGACCTAGCAGACCTCTAATGCTAATGGAGCCATGCAGGGGCTAATGGGGAGACTGAATTCATGACTTTCAAAAATGGTCCGATCGTCGAAGCCCTCTCAGCCTGGATTCCACTGTGTGACCAAGCAACCCATTTCTGAAAACTTAGGGCGGTCCGACGAATCTTGTGTCGCCAGCCCAAAAGATGTGCTACTCGGGTTTCCCGAGAGCAACCGGATCGCCACTCCGCTCTGGGGTTGCGCATCCTCAATGCTTCACATTTGGTGACCATGCTAACTAAGTATGTCCCATGCAACTTGCCAAGACATTTGAGAAACATGAATCAGCATGTGCAAATACCCCATTGGCACCGGAAGTTGACTTCCGCATTGCCCGGGTCTGCTCCTTGCAATCGCAAAGATGTTGGGATCCAAACTCCGAACCCTTCCCGATTCTGGAAATCCACAAACCCAAAAGCTTGAAGACCTGTCTGACTGCAAGCATTTGATGCGTAAAACCAAATACTTTGGCTTTCACCCAGTCTACGTCAATGCCCAAGTATTGGAAAGTGCTAGTTGACCGTAATCACGAGTGCCATCATCCAGTTTCAGTGAACAGGCTAGTTGCAGGTCCATTGGTAGCTTCGTGAGCCGTTTTCATTGTCTTCCAGTTGTTCATCTTGCTCTCACGCAATGCCACAAAGGAAGCCTGGCATTTGGGACCTGGGGGTCTCGCTTCCAGGCATCGGCACTTGCGGCACTTGCGACACTTGCGGCACTTGCGGCGTGCGCGCCCGGTGCTGGATCGGCACCTTCACGATTCTGCCATGCGTGGAGCTTGGCGAGAGCTTGGCAACACGTTTCCAGACTCGGAAGCAAGCGGAGATATGAGAATTCGCAAACAAAAGGGTGCAGAAAGTGCAACACATCTTTCCCTTGAGATTCACTGATTTAAAGGGGGTGAAGGAGCAGTCCATCTCCAGAATATAGTCATGGATTTCAAGTCCTACAGCAAATGAAGGCTCTGAACCATTGCCCGGATTACGAAAAGGACCTCTACGCCCCGCTCAAATCATGGTCGACCATACAGAAGAAGGATATTTGCTACTATTGGGACGGTTGCAATCTACATTCCAGGAATTTGTCGACTCGCCCACGGCACCTTTGACAGGGTGCCCTTCATGCTGTCTGGAAACAACACCCAAGCCCCACGTGCACATGCGCCATTGGGCGCGTTTTGGCGCACTAGGCGCAAGTGAAAGCCTTCTGCAGGCAGGGCTCTTTGTTGCAGCTGGAAGCTGTGCTCGCACTGACTACTTGGGAAACTTTGAAGAATCTTACACAGAGAAAGTATCACCGCAAAAATGACCTAAGATCACATGCCAAAAGAGCAGATTGGCTTCAACATGGGACTGGTCTCAGCAAGGCAATCACAAACTCAGTTCCCATATGGCTGGCCCGAAGAAACGATTTGAGATGTCAACGGAGGGCGCAGTAAGATGGATGTGCACTCTGAGCGGAAAAGTTACTTCAGCTCGTGGGTTCCAAAGGATGCCTCGATTCGCAGGCTTGGCCAAGAAGCCCCGAGCTGCCACCAAATCCTATGCGAAAATCACCTACCTCTCAAAAGAGTCGCCAGCGTGTGCGACCTGCTGCGTATCTCGAGTGGGGGTTCGTGTTGAGGTGTGTGCTAGTTCTCTCGGCCATTGTGTTGCTCGAATATCCGGCTTCCGCCGCAAACCATTGTGCAGGGATGGCATTGACAATCTGTTGCAGGGGTCCCTCAAGTCGCATGAGACTGGTCAAACATCATTGGAACCAGCTACCCTTTCTGGATGACCAAAGCGTTTAACCTCAATGCCATGCACTCAAACACGCGCCAAAAGATACAAGCTTACAAAAGATTGGCATCCTGCGTTCCAGGGCCACAGGCCAGCCAAAACATAACACTTCTTTGTCCACTACCTTTCTGTGTCTGACAATGGGTTGGGGAAATCAACTAGGCGGGACTCCCCCGCTCAAAAATCGCTGATGCCTCTCGTGTATGTCCAACTAAATAATGTCCAAAGAGTCCCGAAGGCGAATTCATCCAACTCAAGAAATCCTTCAGTGCTCCACTCCCCACGGACAAGTAAGATGCACCAAGCTTGGTCAATCTCAACTAGAACCAGTGCCATAGTGCCAGCTCTGGGAGCACGAGAATGTCAAAATGACGTGCGGTGGATTGAGTGGGTGTCTTTGAGGGTCGCCCCCTGCCCAATGGTCTGATCCTTTTGCACTGTTAAGCCTTGCTTGTATCGCATCGATGCAAACGCCAACGAAAATAAGAAACCTGATTAGAACCACCTGGGCTTGTCGCTTTTGAGTGCACGGTTTTGGAACGGAAACCAAATGGAAAGCCACCATTTTGCTCCTTGCTAAAGTCGCAAGAGTATTTACATGAGCAGCCCTAACATCCAACATGCCCAGCTATCGCCAATCAAGAAATCAGCCCTGGGCTTCAACCTGGATCCAACAAATTGCTGGCCAAATCCTCGGAAAAGGGAAATGATGGCTCTCTTGGAGAGGATTCCGGTCCGAAAGCCAAAAGGCATCTGGCCACGTACACCCACACACACACACACACGCACTCTTCCGGAGCCATGCCTCGGCGGCCTCAACCATTCACTCCCAAGGAGTCCACCTCAACTCGACGCGTCGCAAAAGTCCATACGAATGAAATACGCCAAGGTGAAAGTAGGGGGATGATCAAACCATACACCAGGGCGAACGTAGATGGCACAGTTCCCGGTAGATGTGACTTACTGCAGGCAAAACATTTTGTTTTCAGTGACTGGCTGGGTTACCCCCATCCTGCAAGTCACTTCAAGCTGGAGGTTGGCTGGGGGACATGATTCAGCTGTTTTCTGCTCAGCCGGAAGGCGCATGATCCTGAAATCCCAAAAGTATCAAAAGAGTGTGTGTGTGTGTGTGTGTCACGCTGCAAAGGCTCCGTCCTCAAAGACAGCCGTTAGGGTGGAAATACACGTCAAGGTGATCAAAGCCCATACCTCCAACAAGTCAGGGGGATACAAAGAGTCTGAGCAAGTCGGTTGGGCCGGCTTAAGCAAATTCATCTCTCAACCGAAACCTGCCCGCCAAATCAAACGAGCCTTTCCAGGGCCAGCCTTCTGAGTGGTTTCTCAGCGCGCTTGTGCGATGTGATGTGAGCAAATCTTGTCAGCAATAGCAAAACACGGGTAGCCAAATGTTTGATGCGGGCATATTTGTTGGCCTCATTGCGCTTCGCGCTTACAAGCCAAGGGCTCCTAGCTTGAAACATAGTGTGCCCAAAATGCCTCACCTTCAAATGGGCATGTGTCAAAGTTGATTGGGCGGTGGCCCCAAAAATAATGGTTTCGGTTGCTTCCCATTCAACCAACGAAACCCACCACCATTTTTGTGGGGGGGGAACCTTTGCGCTCAAGCCAAGGCACGTAGGCGTCCCAGGTACCGTCCCAGTCGCTGGGTGGGGGCACCTCCCCCAATGTCCCGCAGCGCTTCACCATCCTAGGTGGCTCAAAACCTTGGGTGTGTCTTTTCGAAACCCCTTTTTCCGTTTAAACGGAAACCAAAGGGAAGCCAACCATGGAGTTGACCTATTTGAAGACAAGCCTATTTACTACATAATTCGGATGAACATCCAAGTGAGAAAGTTGGCCTGACCCTCCCCTCTCCCCAGCTGGAGTCTTCATCTAGGTCACAATCCAACCTGGGTCCCTGCTCGGAGTAAGTCCAAATGGACTCCAACGAGACAACAAGAAATCTGGGTAGAGACAAGGCTCCTACATGTTGCTCCAGATATTTAACGAGCTGCCAAAATCGTAGGTGCACCTACTTTGCGAGTCCGTGCGAGGACTTTCTAAGGACGCCAACCTTGCCTGGCAGTGTTTGGGAGAAACTCTGTTGCCTTTTCTGCGGGTCTGCCAGTGGAGCCAGCGTCGCCCAACAGAATCACACTCCATGGGAGCTGTGACCAAAGGTTCACATAGACATTACTATAGTCCTTACTTAGGTAGTAGAACCACCTTCCAAAATGGCCCTGTCTCGTGTTGTAGTTGTGCATCGTGTTTCGTCAGTGCGAACAACTCTCATGCACACGGGTGCATGTGCGTGTGACTTTTGTGTGTGTGTGTTGGTGGCGGCCTAGGCAAGGGTAAGCGTTCAGGGCTTGGGCTTGCACTTGCCTGGCTCTTTTGCTGGCTTGTGCGTGCGCACTGCTTGCCCTGTCGTGCGTTCGGGCGAGCATACGAGCCGGCGTGTTAGTGCGTTGGTGGATGGTTATGTTGGTGTGCTTGTGTGGCAACCATGTCACATAACTTTGTCAAGGAAAAGGACGGACTCTTGCTGCGGCCTATCGCCCATTCATGGATGTTCATGTCAACGGATGTTGTGAGGATGCTCAAGATGATGGTGATGGTGTAATAATGAGAAGGGGGAGAAGGATGTTTTGTCGTTGGTGCTTCCGTCAGTTGACCCTTCTTTTAAACGCTCACTCCCTTCAATGTACACCTTACATTCAGCTGGTCCAGGCCCTGCCGCTTTCCAAGGGGCAAGGATGAGGGAACGTCTTCGCCATCGTTCACGTCCGCCAGGATCGCGTTCACCTGCTCGAACTTGCGTGCTGCGCTGGAGAACCTGAGAGCCGACATGAGGCCAGGGGGCGTTCTCCAAAGCAGTGATGTTCCTTTTTGGCTTCCCTTTAAAACCACAACAAGGGGTACCCTCAAACAATTGACACACCCATGTGAGCAAATGAGACAATCCATTTTTTGCAAATGTCCAACTACTTCCCGATGCGACGGTCAAGACAGATCTTAGGGAGCGGAACTGCACAACAACAGCAGGAGGGAAAAGCCCTGCGCCCTTTTGGAGGCAAGCAATGTCATGTCAACATCTTCCCTTCAGAAACAACAAACAGAAAAGCGCCCATGTGCCGTGGACGGAGGTTCTTGCAACATTGGATTTCGCAAGGGGTCTGTGTGGAAAACAAATCACTATGCCAATAGCCAACGGGTTGCCTACCCAAAACTCGCTGCGCTTCATATTTCAGCCGAACTTTCTCGGGTCGTCCCCCGCGTTGCATGACACCCCGTATCTCGGCCAAAAAGCTCGTGTCTCCTGTAGTCAAACATCGCCTCGGCGTGCAAGGAGATGATGCGGTTCACCAGGGATGGCCTTGAGATCGAACGACGACAGGTGCTCTCTTTCTGTGACTCTTTCCCTGAAGAACAGTCGAAACACCACAAAGGACCATCTGCCCGCAACGCCGGTGAACTGATGCTATCATCTGGCTCGCGCCATTCGTTACATTAGCGTGCGTGCCTCTTCAAATGCTCCTAATCTGCCTGGCCTAGCCCAAGCATGTTGCAAGCGCTTCTTGCGTGCTTTCTCCAATGCTCTTCAATCAATGGCCGTTGCTTCTGGGCCTGGTACAAGGAAGAAGCGAGCCCTGCACGGTTTCACCTGCTGCAGCCATGAGACCTCTTCGTTCTCATGGGCATCACCTGTCGGGAGGCGAATCAGTTCACTTACATTCCCTAGATGCACCCCGACCCACAATTAAACAGCCATTTGCAAAACCAAAAAAGACTTCGTGGATCGTTGATCCAAGTGTTGAATCTTGGTGAGTTATGACATAAATCCCTCTAAACCCTGAAAGTCAACAAATCTCCAGGTATGGCGGGAACCGCCAAGGAAAAAGCAAGCAAACATGACATGTCATTCAAGTTGATGCTCCAAGTATTGTGTTTGAAAATGAAAGCCAGCACCACGCGCAAGGCATGCCCGGAACGTCAAGACATTGTGCCAAATGCCATAAGACATGAAGGAGCCAGTGGCATTCCGTGTCCACATCCAAGGCTTCCACAAGGGACAAGGAAATTCCCGAACCGAGCCTCGTAGATGAGCTCGCTGTGGTTGCCCTGCGCCTGACAAGCAATGGCTCGTAGCGAGAAGAGATCGCAGGTGGGCTCGGCAACTTTGAGAGGGCTGGAGTCCACTAAATTGGGGTGACCAATTCCTGAACGGGTTCTAACAAATGGATTCCTTCCGGATGCTACACACATTGTCCTTCGGTGCAAGCTGGACCTGTTCAACGGGAGCTCACGAACTTCGACTCGAACCAAGGGAACCCTCGGACGGAGCGGCTAGACTCATGGGCCACAGGCATCCCTTGAGAGGGAGGCGCATACTCGACTCCATACTATGCAAAGTTGGGGAGGAGCATACCTAAAGCCACAAATCTGTCAAAGGGAACGGTTCGTCTCAGCTCAGGACCTCCCTTGTTTCCGCTTCAAACTCCCTCCCGCCTGTCTAAGATGCACGTAGTCCACAGGGCGAATGAACAAGTCGTTTGGCGCCATTTTCTCATAGGTCCGTTCCTGCGAGATACGACCCATTGAAACTCCGCAAAACTCCTACTGCAGGATACGTGTGATGCTATTCCAAGAACAGGTCCGCAAAGGACAGTTCTGCAGACATCAAAAACAGCCTGAACTCCGTGGGAAGGGGAACATCAGCACGTCACACTTCCGTAACCTGCGGGCATTTCCCAAGTCCCAGGAGCTGAAAGATGTGGGGTCTCACAAGCGCTGTGTGGTGAAGGCGCAAGCGGGGGGGGGGGCTTGCAACAGCCCGTGGCTCACCAAGCCTTTTTTGTGAGAGTTCATCCTACTGGCAGCCAAGAGTCGGAGATGAGGATGCGGGTCTTGTACGTCTTGTTCGCTTCCTGTGACAGGTGGGCGGTGGCCCCTTTGGGCGCTGGCCTAAAATAGCAAATCCGCAAAGAAGGCTTTTGGGTGAGGATCTACCATGAAAAGGCCATAAGGTTCTAACTCCAGATGCAAGTCATCGCCACCCTTACAGTAGGGCGGCCGTTATCAAAAAATAAGATGCCACCTCATGTATGCGTCAAGCCGCAAAACCTTGATTGAATTCAGAGTAAGGTCGGCCTTTGATTCGATGGCCCGCGAGAAGATGCGGAAGAAACATGTTTAGCTCAGCTCCCGCAATCCCTTCACTTGAGAAGAGCGCAAGTCCTGCGGACAGGAAATCTAGGCCTGCCGACTGATGCCGCGGATGTGTGTGTGTGTGTGTGTGTTTGTATGTGTTGTTTTTGTTTTATTTTTCTGTTTCTTGTTTTTAATCCTTTCTTCTTTTTTTTTCGAAAGAATCCCCCTTTTAAAACTTTTGAGGAAACCAGCCACTTTTGGGCGCCCCTGAAATTGGAGTCAAACCTACGCAGCCATAACCCTTAACGGAGGAACACCTCATCCTGGGAGGATGAACACTTCTAGTTTGCTTTCCTGTGCCAGTCCTGGCAAAAATCAATGTATGGACGGAGTCACTGACAGAGCAATAGGATAGGCCTCTAAAGAGATGTCAATCCAGTGCCAAAACCGCTGCACCAAACAAATAGATTAGAGCCCCTAATTGCCTCACCGATATTGAGTAGCCTTAAGGAAAGGAAAGGTCCTCAACTGTTTTGCAGCAGAGCCAGAGAGTGCGCGAAGACCCAAGTCTTCAGGGACTTGAAAACCCGGGGAGGGGGACTAACCACTCTCTAGCACCCAGCCGCGAATTCAAGCAGTTGATACCGCCATTTGTTCAACTACAACGCCTGGACAACCAGCTTTTGGCGGCAACAACGTGTGCCGCTTTCTGGAACGCCTAAGGGAAACCTACCTGAAACCATTGGGAGACACCAGACACCCTCCTCCAGCTTGGCAGCGATGGTGGACTCTTCGCCTGGAATGAGCAAATTGGCAAGCAGGAATGTGCCCCGTGCCGAAAAGATTGGCCGAAAAGGGTAGAATGAGATATAATGAGATGGACTTCTGTGCTGAATGTTTTAAGACAAGCGGGTTTCCTTGCAAAGAAGCAAGAAATGCACTTTGGTTGAAGTCGATGACATGATCTTCATCTGCATGACTCTAGGTCCACGTATTCTCTCGGAATCGATGGCTAAAGCTGTCAAGCCATATCGGCATTGAAGACACATATTTGGCAACAAACAGGGAGGCTCAAAAATCACCTCTGAAGTGTGGGTGAGGCGAAACCCACCCAAAACCGACCCTAAGCCAAACAACCCTAAACCAACCCGCAGTAGACCCACCCCCAACAAGCTCTAAATGTTGATGCCTGATAAGTTGCTTGATGCCGCAGTTTCCAGGTTTTTACTGTGGCTTTTGCAGCAACATTGTGCCCACAAAGTGTCTTTCAATGCCTAGACCGTTTTGCTGGATCTTTGGAAATATGTTGTATTGGATGCTACATAGGTATTTTTGATGACGTCCCACCCAAAACCGACCCTAAGCCAAACCCACCCCCAACAAGCTCTAAACAGCAACCCCAGTCTCGCCCGACAATTTAGCTGTTGGTGGCTGATAAGTTTTTGAAACAAGTTTTTTTGGCGCAGCCCCCGCCCCCATTCCCCTGACTGGAGTAAGTATAAATAACGGCATCAGCTAAGCAAGAACTCCATAGCGCGCAGCTTTAAAAAACAGGGGGGCCAGCAAGCACATCAGCCCTTCCTGCCTTCCTCATTTCCTCATTTCCTCACTTCCTCACTTCCAAACTTCCTCACTTCCTCACTTCCTCACTTCCTCACTTCCTCACTTCCTCACTTCCTCACTTCCTCACTTCCTCACTTCCTCACTTCCTCACTTCCTCACTTCCTCCTTCCCTCTCCCCTCCCTCTCCCTCTCCCTCCCTCTCCCTCCCTCTCCCTCTCCCTCTCCCTCTCCCTCTCCCTCTCCCTCTCCCTCTCCCTCTCCCTCTCTCTCCCTCTCTCCCTCCTCCCTCTCCCTCGCCCTCTCCCTCTCCCTCTCCCTCTCCCTCTCCGGCTCCCCCTCTCCCTCTCCCTCTCCCTCTCTCCCTCTCCCTCTCTCCCTCTCTCCCTCTCTCCCACTCCCTCTCCCTCTCCCTCTTCCTCTCCCTCTCCCTCTCTCCCTCTCTCCCTCTCCCTCTCCCTCTCTTCTCTCCGTCTCCCTCTCTATCTCCCTCTCCCTCCTTCCGTCCGTCCTTCCTTCCTTCCCTGCCTTTGCTTTCCTTTCCTTCCCTTCCCTTCCCGTCCCTGCCCTTCCCTTTCCCTTTCCCTTTCCCTGAGCTTCTTGTTGATGCCTAATACCTGCGCGCGCTCCGCACGGATTCCTACTGGAATGTTGCGCCGGGACAAAGCGGCAAGCGCTGTCATAGGCTCCACTCACGAACCAGTCCCGCTCCTAGCAAACGCAACTGGGTTACCTTTCGCGGCAAGCCAAACACCCAAAAAAAGTACTTACCGTCCGTCCTCTTGCCGCCTCGTGCACTTGCGCGTCCTCTCCATCAGCCACCCTTGACACTCTTGCACTTTGCCAAGTCCTTCGGCTTGGCTGCATTAAGATGGCAGCGCGGCCCTGGCTTTGGCAGCGCCTTTGAGGGTTGGACTGTGTACACCCACATCAATCATTGTGACGGGGTCTTTCGTGCATGATAAACGCAAGTGTGACGCTGAGGTGCCAAATCTGCAGCTTCAAAGATGCGCGCGTGGGCCTTAGCGCTCGACAGTTGTGGCTTTGTCAACAATCGCACGTGCACCTGGGGAAACCACGCTCATGCCGTTGTTGGCCAGTCACCCGCCACTTGCGGAAAAGCCTGATCTGCTGGAAAAAGCACACGTTGATCTTGGTGGGGTTAAGCTCGCGCCGGGCAGGGGCCGCTGCAGGCGGGGCAGCAGCGGGGGCTGGCGGGTCTGCAGCAGCAGGAGGCGCGCGGCGCCGGGCTTGCAGCGCCTGGCGCCGACGCCGTTTTCCGCAATCACACCCTAGCTTCAGCACGCGGTACTTTTTCGCTTGCTGCCAAGTCTTTTCTCCGCGCCTGTTCCCCGCCGGAGCTTGCCACCGCTGACGCATTCCAGATGCTTGGACACGTCCGGGCCCCCACAGCAGCAGCAGCAGCAGCACACCCTCAAGGCGTCCTGAATTTTCCACGGTAAGGTGGCATGGTAGGAAGGACTAGAGAAGTGAACGCATTGGATATCGCAGTGAATGTAGGTGACTTTCCAGCGCTGATGTCGCCTGTTGGGCAAGCCCTCCAGGGGGCGTGCAAATTTTGTGGCTTTGGTCGTCAACGCGACAGACAAAGACTAATGCTGGCAAGATGCGAGGCATGCTTGGAACATGTCAAACACAAAGTATGGGGGAAACCCGCAGCCCATGTGCAAGTATTCACAAGCTACTGCCACTGGCAGCGCTGTTGCGAAATCCAGCACGTTCGGCAGGTGGGCTGCTTGATCGACAGACAACTTCATTGTCCGGTGCACAGAGTCAGCGACGATCTCTGCAAGACAATGCTCACGAATGTATTGAGAATACATGAGCACCATGCTGATCTGTGAGCAGCTGTTAGCACCTGCTCTAAGGTAGGAGTCTACTGCAGCAAGGCCGTCGGCTCGCTGTTCGGGCTGAGAGCAGCAGGCGCTGCTTGATCACCGGGCGCGAGCGCTTGGCGTGCGCTGATCCAAGTCCGCAGACCTCTTGGAAAAAAGTGTTTTTGGCGCAGACCCCCTGCTTTCCTTCCCTTCCCTTCCCGTCCCTTCCCTTCCCTTCCCTTCCCTTTCCCTTTCCCTTCCCTTTCCCTTTCCCTTTCGCTTTCGCTTTCCCTTTCCCTTTCCCTTTCCCTTTCCCTTCCTTCCTTCCTTCTTTCCTTCTTTCCTTCTTTCCTTCTTTCCTTCTTTCCTTCTTTCCTTCTTTCCTTCCTTCCTTCCTTCCTTCCTTCCGTCCGTCCGTCCGTCCGTCCTTCCTTCCTTCCTTCCTTCCTTCCATCTAAATTCCTTCCTTCCTTCCTTCCTTCCTTCCTTCCTTCCTTCCTGCCTGCCTGCCTGCCTGCCTGCCTTCCTTCCTTCCTTCCCTTTGCTTTCCTTTCCTTTCCCTTTCCCTTTTCCTTTTTTGCTTCCTTCTTTCCTTCTTTCCTTCTTTCCTTCTTTCCTTCTTTCCTTCTTTCCTTCTTTCCTTCTTTCCTTCTTTCCTTCTTTCCTTCTTTCCTTCTTTCCTTCTTTCCTTCTTTCCTTCTTTCCTTCTCTCCTTCTCTCCTTCTTTCCTTCCTTCCTTCTTTCCTTCTTTCCTTCTTTCCTTCCTTCCTTCCTTCCTTCCTTCCTTCCGTCCGTCCGTCCGTCCGTCCGTCCTTCCTTCCTTCCTTCCTTCCTTCCTTCCTTCCTTCCTTCCTTCCTTCCTGCCTGCCTGCCTGCCTGCCTGCCTTCCTTCCTTCCTTCCTTCCCTTTGCTTTCCTTTCCTTTCCCTTTCCCTTTCCCTTTTCCTTTTTTGCTTTCCTTCTTTCCTTCTTTCCTTCTTTCCTTCTTTCCTTCTTTCCTTCTTTCCTTCTTTCCTTCTTTCCTTCTTTCCTTCTTTCCTTCTTTCCTTCTTTCCTTCTTTCCTTCTTTCCTGCTTTCCTTCTTTCCTTCTTTCCTTCTTTCCTTCTTTCCTTCTTTCCTTCCTTCCTTCCTTCCTTCCTTCCTTCCTTCCTTCCTTCCTTCCTTCCTTCCTTCCTTCCTTCCTTCCCTTTTGCTTTCCTTTCCTTTCCTTTCCTTTCCTTTCCTTCCCTTCCCTTCCCTTCCCTTTCCCTTCCCCTTCCCCTTCCCCTTTCCCTTCCTTGCTTCTTTCTTTCCTTCCTTCCTTCCACACAATTGCTTTGAGAATTGCAATAAGTTTCTGGTTGTGCCGAATGTTGATACCTAATATGTGCCTGCTTGACACCTATCACCTTCGGTGTTGGCATGTTCGATACGCAGCTCACTTGTTGGGCGTAACATCTGATCCGACTCAAGCAAATGGCTATGGAGGTGTCTCAAAAAAGGGTAAGCCCGATGTTTGGTGGCGCTTTAGAAGCAGCCTGAAAGAAACTAAGTCAATTGCTTGGAGACATCTTTCACTGTTCCACACGCACAGCGACTTGTTGTTCCCTGAGCCAGACGCGCAGTCCCAGGCCTACGATGCCGTACTTCATGCGCGAGTGAAAGCCCATGTTGCCGACCAGCACCCGGCCAGTGTGGATGCCACACCTGAAGGCTTCAAGAGGGACTCAAGACAAACAATGTGTCGTGCCAACATCCCAAAGCCCACACAAAGTCATCAGCTTCCCACGGCTTCCGCAACGTACCAGCCACGCTACAACTTTCAGAGACAAACGACGAACCGAGTCACCCGAGTCACCCGAGTCACCCGAGTCACCCGAGTCACCTGACTCCCGCCTGATGCTCACCTCAGGTAGACCCTTGTCCTGGCACCACTCTTTGATGCGGCGCAGGGCCCCCAGCATCTTCAGTGCCGCCTGCGGGTCTCCCCGGCACAGCTTTGTGCTTGAGAAACCAAAAGCAAAAGGGGTTGCTTGGGGTCAAATTGTCAAATTGTCAAATGCCCACTGGAAACACAAAGAGAGGCCAGAGAAAACCACAGCGTCCACAACAAACATGTATAGCAAGCCATCGTGGCAGTGCCTGAAAGAACACCTGTTACTCTCGCTTTCAACTCTCAACGGAAAGCGAGCGGCTGGACAGCTGAAGCACTCAATCAAGCCTCCACGGCCGAAGTTGGGTGATGCTCATTGTGCAGCGGAGCTCCGTAGATGCACTGGATCGCCTTCAGTCAGGCACTCTTGCCGCCCTCAAGGAGCCAAAACGAAAGGGATGTTCTCCTTGTCAGTCAACCATCAAGAGAAGCTGGGCACCAAAACCAGCCAGGCACCAAAGATTCCAAAACCAGTTGAAAACGATCGCCATGGTCATTCTCTCTGGCCGGCGAGGAAGCGAAGCCACTTTTTGGGGGAGCTGCATCAATTCTTTGTCACTTGCTAAACCAGAATCCTGCCAGATCAGATCCTAAATCCACACAAAAAGCTTTCGGAGCTCCAGCTCGTAAGTTCACTTCAGGCCGAAACCAGCTCCATCTTGGTTGCTGAATCCACAAGTTGCAGGGGTGCAGGCTCTCAGAAGCCTGAAAGTTAGAGTTAGAGAGATGATCAGACATGCTCCCTGTCAGGGGGATTCATTACAAAGGGGACAGGTGACATGACCATTGACCCTGAAACTGGCAACATCCGCCTGAGCGGATTGGCAGAGTTCACCACGCGGTTCGGCCAAGAAGCATCCCCAATGAACTCTAGCACCACGCCCCCATGGTCGTCGATGACCTGCCGGCTCGTTGGCAAAAGGCTGTACGACAGCTGCTCGTCAATACATGCTTCCAGAAAGGCGATGCTGGGTGTCCTCCATCCACTATGCGCACTAAACATGTTTTACCGTAACGTTGCCACGGGGAGAAAAAGTAATTGACGGCAAAAAGCTGAATAAAATATCCCCAAAGTGCGCTGGTCCATGTTATCAACACAGCACAAAGTAATACCCTGACAATTGAGCTTTGGCTGAGACCCTTGAGGCCAGATGAGCGAGTGTCACCACACCAGCAGCCAAATGCCACGCTTGCAGGTCTGCGCCTCCCTTCTTGGCCTTCACTAAATTACGCCCCCACGGGTTTAAACAGACTAAATGCTTTCTCTGCGGAAAGCATCCCGGCACTCGCCAATGGCTCTTGCCTTGGACATGTCATTGAAGTAGCGACTGAGGAGGAGCAAGCAGCTCTCTGGCGCTATGCTCTCCACCTGAGAAGGCGGTGCAAACGCTTTGCTCTGCTTAAATGGGATCCCATCGTTTGTCTCATCACCTGAGTCGAAGTTGCGGAACTTGGAATCAAGCTGACTCCAAGTTGTCTTCAAGTGTGCCATAGACATCAATCCAAGGGCCCATCCAAACGCGTAGTCTGTTGGTTGTCTTTTCAAGCCGTCCAATGGTGCAGGGTTGCGAAGCCGCTCGTTTTGACGCTTGAAGGCCGGGCCTTCAGAGCGTACATGGGGAGCCTCGAAAAAGCTTTCTTCGCAATGCTGGCCAAGCTGAGGCATGCAACACAACATGTATGTGAATATGTTTACATGTCTGTGCAAATATGTATATGTAATTATATATATATATATGAGGAAATATGTGTCTAAGTGTACATGAGATTCACTTGTTTCTCATGGTCAAAAAAGCCTGCAGCCGTGCGGCTATCGTCGTGAAGTTCGCGATGTCCGAGAAGAACATCGTCACCTGCGCAAAAGGAAGCCCTGGTTTGTTGCTGAGCTTCGAGCACCTGACTTGGCCAGCGTGCTCACAATCATATTCCTCGCTTCAAGCAACTAAAGTTAGGGAGTCATAGGTGTCTGGTACCTGGCCTGAGTGCTCTGTCAGAGACTTGAACATGTCATCAAAGAGGCGATTTGAAACATCAAAGGCGCAAATGAGCGGTGACGCAAAGAAGCTACAAGCCTTAAATTGTGGAGGACCCTCCAAGCAATTGTGGTGTTCTTTCCAGCTCGCTTCACCGTCTTTCATGCCTGCATTGGGAGGTGCAAAACATACTGGCACACAGCCAAATGAGCACATCGCCATTGGAGTTGCACACGTGGGCAACAAACCTCCTGCAGAAGATTTGGTTCGATTGAGCCCGTCTGAGGTAGAGATTGAAAGCAGTGTTAGTGAAGCCTCGACCGCTGCGATGCTACAAGGTACGAATCCGTTTGGGTGCTCGGGGCACAAGACGCAGTGGCACGCGGAAGGATCGAGCGACAAGGCTGCAAGATCTACGCCGCTAGGCTTCAGAACTGGACTGAAACCTGGCAACTCTGGGAAATGGATCTGGTTCAAAGGGCACGTTTGGAGTTCAGGCGACCTCTAACCAGGCCTCAGGCTAACCAAGTGCGGCGCTGCCAGAACAGCAACTTTATCCAAAAAGGAAACAGAACTTGGAGCCAAGGAGCCGCCCGCTCCCCGTCATCTCCCATTGTCATCACCCGCCCCGCACCTCCCTGTCTTTGACCTCCAGCTTGGCCTCGTCCCCCGCACGCAGCAACAGCTGCACTACCTCGGTGAGTCAGCCTTTTGGCCAAATCGGAATCCCCAGTTGCCCGGCTGCTCTCATTTGCCCCAAACCGAACTGGCGCCCAGACCCAGCCATTTGCAGCCCGGGCGCCGGCCACGGCACGTACTTGCCCCAGGACCGGACAGCCTTCTTCATGTTGCCGAAGGTCCTGCGAGCGCTCCGACTACGTTGGGAAATCGGGCAACGCCCAACACAGGCTCTCCATTTGCCCTGCTTTCCTTTAAGGAGCCTTACTGAAAGGGAATCCATAAAAATTGATTTCAAATGTACTTCAAACTCAAGGGTGGCTTCGCACCAAAGAGTTGTCGGAAAAAGAGTTTCAGCAAAGCAAAACAGTAGAACACATCAAGGTCGCGGTGCGAAGAGTGCGAAACAAACCATCCGAAACTAAACTTAGAAGGGGGCATCAAGAACGATAATTTCCTGTCCATGGCCAGGGCGACGATTCAAAATATGTCTCCGTTGTACAGTCCAAGTCTTGTGTGCGCCGCACCGTTTGCACCCCTGCTTTGCTTAAAATAAGGTCTGTCCCTGCCAAACCGAGCAACCAGCCTAAGGATCCAAAGGTCCAAGTGCAAGCAAACATCTAAGGTCAAAACGAAGCACCAACTGGCATGAACATCGTCAATCTTGCCTCATGGATATGGTTGGAAAACGGGGTCTCCCGAAGAGGAAGGAAGCATCTGACTTTAAACAAAAATGCTGCAGGGCCCTCAATGGCCCTCAACCTTCTGCGTAGGCTTTGGAGGACCTACAACTGAGACACACGACAAAACCAACCAACCAACCAACCAAACAAACTCAAACACAGCACGAGCCGGAGCCAACTTCCCGCCTGCGGATCAGGAGCACCTCGCTGGTCTCCTCCTGTCCGACCGCCTCACGAGCGCGTTGCATCTGGCAAGGCCCTGAAAGACGTGCAAGGAGAACGCCTATTCATTCTCAAAACAAGGCTTAATTGACTCTTCTGTACTTATGAGACTCACTTTGTTGAAATATAGAAGGCGCAGTCATTTAAGACAACATGTGGAATTATTGCAGTAGCCATGTGGAAGCAGGATCCGTAGAAAGATGCAGGAAGTCTCGTGGGCTTCCCAGCTGGATGAGCCTGAAGGAATCACAAAATTGGCTTCGCTCAAACTTGTGCCCATAATCTGGTCGTGCATCCGCTCTGCGTAAAGAACACATGGGCCATCCTTGGCCGGCCCAGCAACAGGCATTGCATCCGGCTGCCTGACAAGCCTACTTTCTGCAAAAATCAGAGAGGCGAACCTGGAGACTCTGCAAACGTGCGAGTCACAGTCAAACATTGTGGTGAAGTGGACTCAAAACCATGTCAATGACAAGAATCAAAGACCCGCCCACCCGCCTAGTTCTGGCTGGCACGGTCCCCCCATAAACTTCATCCATCCAGGTTTGGAATAAGCCTGACCCTTCATTCAATCCTCTTTTGTTTCAAACAAGGTCAGTCAAAGCATCAGCCGAGCCACAAACAATGCCTTTTCTGTTGGCCCTTAAAAAGTTGAATGCCGCGTTATTCAGCTCAACATTGGCCTTTGGCCGCATTTTCATAAACCCCCCAGACAACTTACTCTCGTTCCAACAATCATGGATGTGGATGGGAGTTCTTTGTCATGATGATGTTCGACGGGAACATCGCAAAGAGATCCATGACATTCCGACTAGCACCCAGATACTGCACGGCTCATTGAGCCCGAGTTGATTGAGCAGCAATCTGCCACAATGAATTGTTGCTATGCTTTCAGCGTTCATCGCATCTCTTGGGTTGAAAAAGCGCGAGCAGATCTCAGAAAGATTTTGGGGCCCTTGTGCTTGCAGCTCCAAAGCCCGGAAACTTAAAGTGAGGCGCCGCGAAACTGCGTGCAGCTCCCGTGCTCGTTTGACAACGGTTTGAGCCTTCGCGGATTACAGTAGTGGATGGGGATCCTCAAGAGGAGGATTCAGGCCGCCCATTTCAATTGAGCCTCAGTTCCTTGGGACTGTCTGCACCGCGGGCGAAGCGATCAAACACTCAAGGGCACCTCCTCCCCATCCGTGCTGACACCGGCCAGCTGAAGCTGAGCAATGCTCTCCATCTCGTCCGACAAGTCCCGCAAAGGCCTTCAATGTCTGATATTTGCCGAAAATCCCTAAGAACCCAAGCAGGATCTGGAGTGGTTCAATCTGTGATTTTTAAGATGGGCCTGACAAACTGCAGCAACCGAGCAAAACGTCACAGGATCAACGCACAATGCTTGAATCGAATGCTCCCTTTGTCAAGAATGGCAAGGGGCATCTAGAATGGCTATAGTCTTCGATTTGGCTCCAAGCAGGCAAGCCGAGGCAAACCAGGATTCAAGTCCAAATCTGGCCGGGTAGCCAAAGAGAGGAACCGTGTCGGGGGAGCACCCTGCTTTGCCAACCCCAAACCCGCTTGTTCCATCTTGTTTTTGGTCTATGGGGGTTCTAAACAGGGTCTCCTGGAGATGCAGCGTGCCCCGTGCCTGGCCTCAAGAGGTGGTGAGAGAGAAAGGTGAGGTCACGAGTCAGCATGACGATGCCGGAGAGGATGATGAGAATCACCTCAGACGGCGTCCGGATGACCCTTTCTGGATTCTACTGGCTTCGGTCGGATGCTACACTCAAGATTGTCCTTTTGTGCAAGTTGGAACCTATTTATTAGAACCAGTTTCGGGTCCCCTGACACGTAGCCGTCCTTTCGGGAGACTAGCACACAGTTTGTTATGTTTGTTCCGCAGCGCCTCTGCAGGAAACCACGCAGCGAATGGCTTGAAAAGCAAGGATCAAATGCGAGGCGGATGCTGGCTGAAAAGGCAGAGAGAAACGTGTGCCCGTTGGCCATTTGCAGTCATTGAGTTAAAAGCTGCCTGGCTGCCTCCAAGAAACCAAGAAACGCCACGCGGCATGCTTGCAGAAGGTATCGAATGACTCACCTGGTAAACTCTGGACAGCCGAACGCAAATTCACCGGTGGCAAGATGTGAGCCCGAGCTGCAAGATTTAGGGATCAACTGTACCTCATTCATCTGATAAGAAGACGGGCTGGCCAATGTGCTCCAACGATTTGATGGATGCGGAACTCGTGCCAAAGAGCCTTAAGAGCCTCCCAATGCTGCCAGAGATGCCCTGTTCCGATTCTGGGCAAAGACACGCTAACTCTATGAAGATGTTATGAAAGTCCTGGCTGCGTCACCCACAACAACGCTGACGGCCAAGGCGCGCAAACCGTGGTGAGCAAAGACATCCAGGCCTGGCAGGACGCGCTTCGTCGTCCGTTGATCACGGCCATAGGCTGGTGTCTGCGGAAATCAACGCCAAACATTGGCCAAGAGGCTAACTGGGGGCAGAGAGCAAAGCAGCAGAATGTGTCTGGCCCTGTGGCAGTCATTTGAACTTGGGACTGTTGGGACGGCAAGCGGGAAACAGACAAGCTCAGGGCTCAAGACATCTTCTCTGTTGTCGAAGATTGATTAACAATCCAAGGCACGCAAAGCAGCAGCGAGAGAGGCTCAGGAACAAGATGCCATTTGCGCTGATTCGGGGAGATTGGTCAAGGAAAACAGTCTCACATACTGCTCGGTGGCAAATTCAGACGCACTGGCCCCGACGTGTCCCGCACTATTCCAGTCTTAGTCATAGCATGCCTCCACTACCCCTCGGTCCAGCTCGCGATATCACTGTGGAACAGGGCATCAAATCAGTCTGGCAGGGGTCACATGAAATTGCCATACCATCAATATTGGATCACGACTGAATCAAATTTAAAATCGGCTCTCGGATCAAAGTCAAACCAACTTTTCGTGGAGAACACAACATAAGCTCAGGTGATATCCCCAACAGCATGCGGTGCTCTTTTTAGTGCTCGCACCACCCTGCAGCCCTCGCAGAACCCTGGTGGAACCCTGATAAAACCCTGGTGGAACCCTCGTGGAACCTTACCTCAGGGCTTGGAGCCTATCTGGGCTGAGACCCCAAAGCTGCTGTTGGGGAAAAACATAACTTGGAGCCCGTCATACTCTAGTGGGCGAGATGCGGGCTTGTCGTCTAGCAGGAGCACCCCCCAACGAGGCAGGCAACCTCGTGCGCCCCTGCCTCCAGTGAGGTGTGGGCCCGGTCGAAGAGCACGGCCACTGCCGTGGTTTTGTTCCTGGGTGAGGCCAGGAATTGGATTCCAGTGTCAGGAAAGAAAGGGATGTCGAAGAGGGGCGGCTGGCATGGTTTGTGACACCGACTGGAAACTTCTCGCAGGCCAGAGGCCTTGCTGAGTCCCTACCCCTTTCTGAAGCCAAACGCTCTGTGTTCTTGAAGCGAGCAGCTCCAACTCCTCGGGCGAGACGTCCGCGCTGGAGAAGTCCTCGAACCCAAGTCCCGACGGCACGAAGCATAGGCGCGATGCGTTGGTTGCTTCCCTTGTGGTCTCAGGGGCCAACAAAACAGATGCACAGGTGTTTCAGGTTGCTGTTGACGTCCAAATGAATCATAGATGGTTCAGGTTTGCGTTGCGACAGCAACTTCCTTGAATCACGTCGCCACCTGCGATTCAGCATGCGTCTCTTGCCAACAAGCAGCCGGCACTCGGAGCAGCAGCATGTCTGCTTGCCTGTCAGGGCAGGGGCTGGACTGTAGGATTTTGGCATGGCGAAACGCGCCAAGGGGTGGTTCCTTTTGCGGCTAAAGATCTACAGATGCCCAGAACAAGGTAGCTGGAATGTCTTATTGCGCCATGCCTGCATGAGTCCTTCAATAGACCAGTCTGTTTCCAATAGCTGGATTCAAAACACTGACAACGCTCACCCAGCCTTTGCTCAACCTTTCCCAGGCCAAACCCGGCTGCAAGAATTTTGACGACGCTGGGACCCCGCCAAGTGGCGTGATCATGATCATTGTCAGGGGAAACATGACACTGCAAGCCTTTGCCAATGAACCACCAGGTACAAGTTTGATTCGGCTGGTCATTAATTGAGGGTGAACACAGGTAAACCGGCAAACCGGTAAACCCAACTTGTGGGGGGTTTCTCAAGCTGACAAAAAGCAAGCTCTATGCGTGCCCAAAGACCTTCACATCGGCCCAAGCAAGGTTTGACGCCTTCCCGGGCTCAGGCCTGTAGCCGGTGGTGATCAAATCATCGTCCAGCGCATAGAGCTCCCGACGCGTACCGGAGAAGTAGGAGCTGTTTGTGCAGGGGTCGCCTGCCGGATGCGCATGTCTGTCCAGCAAGAACTAGCGATCCATTTGGGTCTTCGCGGGGGGGGGGGGGAACCTGGTTACGTTCAGCCCAACTGCAACACAAAATATGCGTCTTCCTTCCTGGGGAGAAACACGCCCGTTCCCGCACCAAATGACAAGCACCGCTACCGGTCCTGGGACTGGACCGGTCCTGGGACCGGTCAACTCCGCGCGCTTAGCACTGCACACACGCCCACCAAACGAATAAGCACCCCGTTCACGTGCGTCCGCGCACCTGCCAAATGATAAGCACACCAGCTCAAGCGCGTCCGCGTAGCACTGCACACATGCACGCAACATTGGTTCACCGCCTCCGAAAACGCTGCGGGTCCTTGCCAACACAACGCGAACTAAAAGGCGTGTCAAGACTGTCGGGAATTCTGTCACATGGTTGGTATCCTGCTGGCTTCCCATGGACCAATTGATCCCAGCGTTGAACCACTGTGAGCAGACTGGCACCGCCACCAAATTGATGTCTCTCCTCGCCAGGGGATGTTCCAGCCATGTTGTCCTGACATGTTGCCGAAACCGTATGATATTGCACCCTCAATACAACTATGAGAGCAACAAGAGACTATTCGCACATGCGGAACACTGCTTCCTTCTTGAAACCATCTTCCCAAAGTACTGTAAACGTGGCTGCTCGGTCAGTGCACGAAACCGGGAAGGACCCTAATCCAGAATCAGCGAGAAGCTGGGAATGGAGTGGGTGGAAAGATGCTACTTCATCCCAGCCAGTCCCTCTCACTGCGCGCCTCCGTGTTCTGGTATTTCGCTGCAGTAGACCTTAGCATGCGCCCCCATTTTGTGGGGTCGCAAATGAGACGTGCTCCAATGTAGTAGGCCATTGCAAGCTCAACTTTTCTTCAAGCTGGGAGCCACTGAAAACAAAATCGTAATTTGTCTGGCCTGAAAATGAGAATCAATAGGAACAGTGTGTACACATGCAGCCATTGGGAGACTCACCCTGGCCTTCTTGTCCAAGTCCAGGTAGAGCAAAGAACTTGTGCCTATGCTCTTCTGAACGGCCTCCAGCCACACCTGCAGGAAGCAGGCAGCAAGCTCTGGGACGCAAACGTGTCGGACCACAGAAAACGCACCCAAATTGCCATCTTCCACAGCGTGCGGCGTAACACCAACATGCTGCCTTGTGCCACCTCGTGACATCGCACAAACTGATGACTCCGTAACAAGCGCAGAACGTGGGCCTAGAAAAAGGCTCAAGCAACTGCACAACATGACTTCGGCCAATCAAGCCCCGAATCCCAGCTTCAAGGAATGTCCAATTGCGTATGCACAGCGAATTCCAGAGAGTAAGTCCACTTATGTCCACTTCGCTTGCAATCCTTCGCCAGCCTCAACCTGCTCTTTGACCAGCGAAGGTACTGGTGCAGTGTCGGTGACGTTCGGGTACTCTGCGCGCACCTGGAGCACGGAGAGAGGTAAAGTTACTACGACAAGCAATGGGAAAGCTTGTCTCATGCGAGTACGCAAGGCTCTCGGAGGAGAACTGAGCCTGCATTGTCACCTGAGGTAAAGAAGACGCACTCTAAAAGCACAAATACATGCACCGTATTTAGGAATAGATGTGGTTGGAGTGAAAGTACGAATGGCCACATACGCGTCCGCTCATGTACCTGACTTGATCCTGTGTGTGTGTGTGTCTGATTTCTTGGTGGCCTGATCCCCAATCATGGTTGCTGTACCTTCTATGCGCTGGACACATGCTACACAAACTAGACATAATATGCTAAGGCTTTGGGGAAAGGTGCTAGAAATATGGAAGCCACATGCGTTTGTTGGTTCCCCCTTTTTTTTAGAATCTGCGAAGGCGAGGAGCGGTGATTCACACATGGAATCCTTTTTGCCAGCAGCATTTCGTCCAGGGAAAACTGCAAAACCAGGTTCTGCGAGCAAATGGAACACAACCTCGCTCCTCGGCGAAGATTCGTTTGTTCGGTTCAGTTCTTTCAGTTTGGGGAATTGTAAAGAAAATGACTCAGCCCTCGAAACAACATTAGAGGCGTCAGCAAAGGCTGAGAATACTTTGTCGAACAATAGACATTCATCTACGTGCTTCTTCACCTGTTCATACACCGGTTCATATCTATTCATTTTGTCCTTGCATACTTCGATGTGCCTGCACTCTCCCTGTTTGCACGCACCTTCGTCACCTTCGCTTCCCCAACCAGACAAACCGATGGCTGTCAGCCACGGCGCCAGCTGATCACAGAAGCGCAGGCCCCGCAGCGGGGAACTGTTCTTCAAGGAGGGCTCGATGAGGTTCAGCACAAAGAGCAGCCTCAAGTTGACAAAAAGTAATTCACGACAAAACCGACAACTGGAAATCAGGAAGGATTCAAAACTCACAACTCGACATGAAAAATTGGACATTCACAAGTGGAACTGAGCAATCAACAAGGAACCTTCATGCACATTCTGTCGTATGTTGTGGCTGAAGTCCACCAATAACGCCCCAAAGATAGGTATCTGGCAAAGTAAGAGGGCCTTTCTCTTGGGAATCGCCCTTGCATCTTTCGATTCTATGTTGGCTTGAAAGTTGCACACAGAGTGCCCTGGGGGCCAAATACGCTTTCCACATGGAGTCGATTTGGTGTTGATGAGCGTGTCTGTCCTTGGCAATCCCTCGTCAGAGAGTAACAAGCAGAAGTGATGCTAGCATGTGCGGTGTCCAGGTTGAGATCCGTGGCGAAGTCTCTTGCCAACTTAAACTGAGTGAAGTGCATCTTCTCAGTGCAAGCTGGAATGCACAGCCTCGCATCAAACACCGGCAGGTCTCGCTACGTTGTGGTTCCAAGAAAACCGCGACCTTCAGCATTCGGCTGTACTGAGGGTTGGCGCGACAATCATTCTTTCCAGGGCACAGCAGAACACCCAGCGCGACCTTCACAGCCACTTGTTCCTGGGCAAGCGCCGAATCCGGCTTGGGCGCTCAGGAGGTGGGGCAAGCTTCTTTGCGGAGGATGTTGAACAATAGAGGTAGGGATACTCCCTCTTTTAAGAAGAGTTTTTAGAACCTTCTTAGAGCGTGTTCTTAAACGGGTTCTGAGAGCCTTGCTGGTTGGTACAAGGGCCGCGAGGTTTCTCCTGAAACATGCCAAAACCCAACAAAGCCATCACGTTTCATTGTGTCCAACCAAGCCTGGAGAAATGCAGTCCCTAAGGCCATTCCTAAATGTGGCAGCACCGCTACTTTTCGCGCTGGTGCCTTGTTTGGTCATCATAGATAGCATATGCTCCCTGGACCGGATACGGGCGGTCATCACTTTTCGGTGCGACTTTAGCTCCCAGCATTTTGCGAGTCAACACGTCTACCCCCGAAGCCACTCGCGCCCCAAGCGCAATGCATGCGGCCAAGGCGCCGCGTGCTTTGACGTGAGGTTCTTCATGTTGCTGGCCTAGCGGCGATGCAGAATATGCATCCGAACCCGCCCGCCCCTTTTTTTGGTGGGTCCTCTATTTGACCAAAACATGTTGTGGGTCCAGATGGGTGCTCTCGCTTGGTTGGGTCCACCCATGTTGTGGGTCCAAATCCTGTTTCACAAAACACCAAAATAAGCTCAGGTGACATCCCCAACAGCATGCGGTGCTCTTTTTAGTGCTCGCACTACCCCGCAGCCCTCGCAGAACCTTGTGGAACCCTGGTGAAACCCTCGTAAAACCTCCCCGGACAACCCCGGAGCCTGTCTGGGCAGAGACCCCAACGCTTTCAGCTGTTGGGGAAAAAAACACGCAGCCAAAAACACACAAAAATATACAAAGATCCGCACCAAAACATGTCTCTGCCCACCGGACGACCTCCTTCAGCTGCTCCTCGCAGGCCAGCCGCAGCTTGCTGGCCACCCACTCGTCCTCCAGCATCAGCCGACGGAACTCCTGCGACGAAGGCCGACGTGGCGCGGCATGGGAGGCAGTGGAGTGGGGCTAAACACCGGTTCGAGCATGTCTTGACATTGTTTGAAGCTCCTCTTGGTTTCTCTTAAGGAACCAGGGGGTGGTTGTTTAAACAACGAGGGATTGGATGGGTTCGGCCTGCTGCCTCACCGATTCCAGCAAACTTGTTCAAAAGTTGGCAGAGCTTCCTGCTGAGAGGCCCAGGGTCAGGTTGTCAAGAAGCAACTTAAACTCTGACTGGGACAGGTAGGCGGGCGGGGAGAGGCCTGGAAATGAGCTTGAAGATCACAAGCTTAGAGGAAATTGACCAGCTAAGCAAAACGGCTCATACCGTGACCCCGGCTGCCGGCATCAACCACTGGGCTACTGGCTACTTGAGGATAAGCTACTGTTGAGACGCAGCCAAATGCGAAGCGAAGTTTGCCCCTCCCATCCCATCACGTTGCCGTTTCTCCCCGTTTGTTCGCAGCCTGGAAATCGATGACCTCGTCTGACTCGTCCTCCTGCACAGAAAGGCGGGCAAAGGGACTGCCAGTGAGCAACGGAAAGGGACTGAAACGTGATGACACCTGTGTTTGTTTGAGGTACCCTTTCTGTTTTTTTTTATGGCAAACCAAAGGGAAACCTTAGGGAAACACTGAAGATCAAACCTTTCCATGAGAAAGCCGGAAGAACGAGGGAAAGAAGCGTGAGCGCAGGAACAACTCTTGCAACCCAAGCTGCAAACAAACAAATGTCGCAGACTATCAGCTGTCACCGCAAAGCCAAACTGACGCAAAGTGCGGTGGATATATTGTGGCGGTTTACATATCCTCCCAAAAACGGACGGACATAAACATGAACGACGAACTGACTTGGCCCGGACAAAACACAGCTGCCCTGCCAACCTCGGCAGCGATCTTTGATTTACCATCTTGACCTCGGGAGTGACCAATTTGTCCAGGTTGCTGAAACAAAAAAAGCACAAAAATGACATTTTGGAAATGAAAGATGGCCAAAAATCCCAGCCCTTTTCAAGACTCTCAAGATTCACTTTACATATCCAAGGCTTCGGGTTGCGCAAACTTGAGCCGCAAAAGAGCCCTCAAAAGATTCTCCAATAACCGAAAGCCACTTTGTGGCCAAAGCACCCGTGAAATGCGTCGTCCTGTTACGACCTTAAAATCAAATCAGTGCCCAAAGCCCCGCTGCCCTTTCCTCCGGTGTCTGCCGCGTCAACTGGGAAGCCGTGGAAGTTGCCAATGCCACTGCCTGCGACCCGCGGAACCATTTAGACTGATCGATGCCAGCAGTGACCAAAGCCCATAGATGAAAATGCGGTGAAAGCCTCTGTGCCTCAAACCAAGAGCACAACAAACAGTGATCGTTGATAGGAGATTGTGGATCAGTCCCATCTTCCCCCAGAAAAAAAAAAAAAAAAAAAAAAAAAAAAACATCGCTCGGCAAGGTGCCCGAAAGCCGTGTCATGGGTGTGCCCGCGCTGTATCCCCAAATACAAGCTCGGGAAAAGCAAACAGCCCAGGCGCATGAGGAATAGTGGCACTTCACTGAAGTGCAATTGCAAACAAAACATCATGGTAGCATGGTCATCTGGATCTTGCTCCATGACAAATTTTCCATGAATCACGGTTTGCACTTGCAGCTTGCATTTGTCCATCCAGTTGATTGCCATCCCTAGGCCCGGAGCGCGGAGAATGGAAGGTGGGGGTCAACTACTCGCTGTGACGTTGGAAGCCTTGAAATGGCCCATGGGTCACACTTGCCAAGTCTTCAACTGGCAAGGTGAGGCAGAGACTGAGTGCCCCGGGGCAAATAGTGCCGCTTGAGAAAGTCACCTTTGGCATCTCCCATTGACATTGGCCACCACATCACAACTTCAGATGTTGTGGTCTTCGCTCGGCTGGACAGTTTTGCAAACCCTAACCACGGCGTGCCCTGAGTCCTGGCTTGGTTGGCTCAGATGCGTCATTTGGACGGCTGGACTCTTCTGTCCATGAAGAAGCCTGGAACACGATGGTCCTGGGGGGGGGGGACGGAAATAATCTTATGTGGCTCATGTGGCGACATACGTCTCCCCCTAGAATCCAACACATCTCGGCAGCATAGCTGCTGAACGTCCCTGCCCAGTTCTTAAGTTCGGGACTTCCATGTTCGCAATCCTGTGCATAAACGATGATGTACTTGGTTTCTCTTTCAAACCTCCGCCCAAGCATTCTGGTTGCATTTGACGTCCCGCCTTCATCTTCGCTTGCAGCGCGGTGGTGTGACTTCGGCTCATGGGCGACTTCCGCCGCGGACCTGGGATGCCGGAGATGCCCCCTTCGGTGTGGTTCAGGGTCAAAACACCACATGCATGATCGATCCTTCAACTAGAGACTTGAGATGTTGAGAATCTGGGCTGCGCTGTGTGCCAGAACAAAGGGAACAAGGGTAAGAGCCTTCAGCATGGTTCTGATTGGAGCCACCCCTGCCAGCAAACAAAATGGATTCCTGTGCCTTGCCTCTTAATTCCAACGGCGAAGATGCTGGCCGTTTCAGGGGCAACCAACCCAAGAGGACACCACGTTGATTCATAGGAGGCCTGCTTTTAATGCAGATTCATTAGGGGATCCTTTTGATTTGAGGACCTCTCCCAAAGTATAGTCATGATATGAACTGAGGCCCTTGTGTAAAAACATGATTTTCTCTCTCTCGCTCTCTCTCTCTCTCTCTCTCTCTCTCTCAGCACGTCAGCAAGTCACCTAGGGGGCTTGCAGGAAAAGAAGGCGGCTCTGATGGTTTCTCTGGGACTCTGGGAGAGGTAGATAATTCCTCTGGTCTATGTATCCCATGGTTGCTCCTAAGGTCAATAAGCTCCGGCTATCTGGGTGCCTTTGCCTGTTGTAGATTTGAGCATTATGCGCAGAGGCTTTGGGTCCCACGTACACACTGTTGCCCGAAGCTCTTCTATCTGACGGTGCAAGCTTTCCCAACCTGGCCCCTGGCGTTTTTGGCCGAACCAAAGGATACACCGAATAACAAATTCTGATGTTTCTTCACATACAGTCTATCTGCAACATAAAATCAGTTTGGCGACCCCAGTACCGCAGGCATCTTGCATGCCGCGGGGCTTGTATGCGCGCTCTCCGGACGGCTCTCCCGGTCTCTGGGCGAGTCGTGGGCACCTGGTGGCCGGTTGCCCCCGCGATCTAGGGATTCTTCTACCCCATGTGCCATAGTAACAGAACAGAATGCCCCCGCGCTCCCAAGAAAGACCAGGGCGCTAAGCCACAATCGACATTGGCAGTTTCGGGCATGGATGCAGAGCTCATAATCCTGCTTTCAAGCAGATCTTGCAGCACAGTTTGGCTCATTTGGAGAGCAAGCGTGCTCAAGGGCAGACAGCAAGGGTCGCGCCCTGACCAAGCTATCCGCGTGAAGAGTGAAGGTTGTAGAGATTCTGCTAAGGCAACCTAAATATTGAAGCTTCTTTTGCTCCTTGTGGCCCCAAAAGAGTGCTCTCATCTAAGGAGATCAGGCATGACCCCTTAATCTCATTCTCATACAGCAGGCCCTGCGCCAATCAAACCATATGTCCGTCATCTGCACCTGCCTGAGCATCGCGTGAAGTGCTGATGCTCTTGAGTGAAAGGCCTAGAGCGTACCGGTTTGCCTCCATCTTCATCATGGTGAGAAGCCCATGATTTTGTTTGGCCTGTGCTTTACCCTCCTCTTCCCGCGCCTGCAAACGATGCTTGGGACACCGTGGGCGACTCCGGAGCAAAGTCCGCAAGGGAGCACTTGGACCTCGGACAGTTCAACCTCTGGCGCATTGGGGGCATTTCCGTCAATGAAACGGTTTGTCCCTCATGCTGGCACTCTCTAACATTCGAGTCTATGAGCAAAACCGGGGGCGCATTCTTTGTTGGGTCTAGTTCTTAAGGGAAACCCCGCCACGACTGTTACACATGTTCGCTGGATGAAACATCACGTCCAGCGATATGGAGAGAATGAGGAACGCAAGTTCCACACGCAAAGCACCCTCTCTGATGTCGGTCCGAAGCTCCCTATTTAGAAAACCCATTCAGTCGTCCAAATCACTGCCGTATTGTCTGGTCTGCTTGTTTGACGCACCTTCTCCTGTCCCAGATGTCCTCCCAACCCTTGGCAAAGCAAATCCACTTGTTTGCACATGGGACTCTGGTTGCAACAACGTCACGATGTCGCCCTTCTAAGTGAAGACATCGAACCTTCAAGGCCCCGAAGTGTGAAACTTGTCCAAGTGAAACCGCTGTTACAGGGTCTGCCTTACTTATTTCAGAACCACACCCTCGACCATCGCGCCTCGTACCCTCCGAGTGCGGCTCTGATCGCTGGGCCTGCCATGTCAATAAGACTTGCTCGCATCGAATGAGACAATGTCTTGACTTGCTGCTGGTGTTTGGCCAACAAAAACCCAGAACAAGCACAGAAAAGCAATCCCCAAACGAATTGAGATCACAGTATCGCATTTGTGTTGACAGCACTACAGCACTCATGGCCATGCAGGGCTGACTCGCTCATTCTGCAACCGCCCATCGTCGCAGTTTTTCACTCACGTGGCCATCTCATGTTACCCTGCGTTTCAGTCCACAAACTGTAACATGGCTTTACCACCCACTTGTCCCTTCGCTACTCATTGCCCGCAGCTCGACATGGCGTGATTTCACCGTGCATCTCCAAATTCAACACTAAATTCCAAAGCCTGAAATGAGGAATCCCCAGATTTAAAAGACAGACATGGTGAGTTTACCCCCAGGTGATCACTTCCTAAAATAGGCAGATGCATCCCAATGAGCCGCTCGGAGCCTTGGTCAGTCGGCGCATGGCACCCAAAGTGCTCACCACCTCACCGGAGTGCTACAAGCCGGCATTGGTGGGAAAGCCCAAAGGGAGCCCCAGTGGTATGCCGACGCCCTCCGCCAAGACAGCTGTAAAAATGCTTCAATTTGAAACAAAAGGAACGACGGGGGGGTCCAAAACAACAAGTTCCTCTGCTTGATGGGTGTCCCTGCAAGCATTGCATTCCTATCTTTCTGTCCTGGTTTCATGGTTTAGCTTTGCTATGAAATACCGTCTACACAATGATACATGTATGCTGCGGAGGAAACGAGCTTGCAGAATTCAGCACAAGGCATCCTGATGTTTGCTCAGGTCTCTGGCCGGAAAGGCGGTGCACCACTCAAGTTTTCCCAAAGCAGCGCACAAGGTTCAAGCACACCTCAGCTGCCCCATTGATCCAATGAAAGTGCTCACGGTGCTGCTTCCTAAAGGGGTGCCTGGAGGAACATGTTCCCCCTTTGGGATTTTTTTACTTTCCAACACCTGGCCCAGGTGGGACCCTAAGTGGATGAAACCCTTTATATGTACAATATATTAGGCCCTGGGAGGGGGGGTGACCATATATAAAGATACAAATATTACATATATATATCCGCCGACCCCTTCTCCTCAAAGGGGGAGGCGTACGGGAAGGGCGGTTACAAGTCCAAGCCTGGCTGGTAAATGAGCATAACCGAAGATTCAACATCATCATCATCATCATCATCATCATCATCGGCGTGGTGGTCCTCGCTGCTGTCCTTATCTTGATTATCATGATGACTGCTGGTGATGCTGAGGATGCGTCATGATGATTATCATGTCAGTTCATCATCATCATCATCATCATCACCATCACGGTGCTCATCATCATCAGCTTCTTCGTCATCGTCCTTATCTTTTTTATATACGTTTCAAGTGTCCCGTTAGACCCGATTCGAGATGCAGAAGATGCGCGGACATCATCAGCATCATCATCACGGTGCTCATCATCATCATCTTCTTCGTCATCATCCTTATCTTTTTTATATACGTTTCAAGTGTCCCGTTAGACCCGATTGGAGATGCAGAAGATGCGTGGACATGATTATCATGATGACTGCTGGTGATGCTGAGGATGAGTCATGATGATTATCATGTCAATCATCATCATCATCAGCATCATCACGGTGCTTATCATCATCATCTTCTTCGTCATCGTCCTTATCTTTTTTTATATACGTTTCAAGTGTCCCGTTAGACCCGATTTGAGATGCAGAAGATGCGCGGACATGATTATCATGATGACTGCTGGTGATGCTGAGGATGCGTCATGATGATTATCATGTCAGTTCATCATCATAATCATCAGCATCATCATCACGGTGCTCATCATCATCATCTTCTTCGTCATCATCCTTATCTTTTTTATATACGTTTCAAGTGTCCCGTTAGACCCGATTTGAGATGCAGAAGATGCGTGGACATGATTATCATGATGACTGCTGGTGATGCTGAGGATGAGTCATGATGATTATCATGTCAATCATCATCATCATCATCATCAGCATCATCACGGTGCTTATCATCATCATCTTCTTCGTCATCGTCCTTATCTTTTTTATATACGTTTCAATTGTCCCGTTAGACCCGATTTGAGATGCAGAAGATGCGCGGACATGATTATCATGATGACTGCTGGTGATGCTGAGGATGCGTCATGATGATTATCATGTCAGTTGGTGTTCATCATCATCATCATCTTCGTCTCGTCCTTATCTTTTTTTATATACGTTTCAAGTGTCCCGTTAGACCCGATTTGAGATGCAGAAGATGCGTGGACATGATTATCATGATGACTGCTGGTGATGCTGAGGATGCGTCATCATGATTACCATGTCAGTTCATCATCATCATCATCATCAGCATCATCACGGTGCTTATCATCATCATCTTCTTCGTCATCGTCCTTAAATCTTTTTATATACGTTTCAAGTGTCCCGTTAGACCCGATTTGAGATGCAGAAGATGCGCGGACATGATTATCATGATGACTGCTGGTGATGCTGAGGATGCGTCATGAGTTGGTGTTCATCATCATCATCTTCTTCGTCATCGTCCTTATCTTTTTTATATACGTTTCAAGTGTCCCGCTAGACCCGATTTGAGATGCAGAAGATGCGTGGACATGATTATCATGATGACTGCTGATGCTGAGCATCATCATCATCATCATCATCATCATCATCATCACGGTGCTCATCATCATCAGGTTCTTCGTCATCGTCCTCATCTTATTTTTATATACGTTTCAAGTGTCCCGTTAGACCCAATTTGAGATGCAGAAGATGCGAGGACATGATTATCATGATGACTGCTGGTGATGCTGAGGATGCGTCATGATGATTATCATGTCAGTTCATCATCATCATAATCAGCATCGTCATCACGGTGCTCATCATCATCATCTTCTTCGTCATCGTCCTTATCTTTTTTATATACGTTTCAAGTGTCCCGTTAGACCCGATTTGAGATGCAGAAGATGCGTGGACATGATTATCATGATGACTGCTGGTGATGCTGAGGATGCGTCATGATGATTATCGTGTCAGTTCATCATCATCATCATCAGCATCATCATCACGGTGCTCGTCATCATCATCTTCTTCGTCATCGTCCTTATCATTTTTTATATACGTTTCAAGTGTCCCGTTAGAAGGTCTAACGGCACAGTTGAAATGTACATGAAAAAGAAGAGCGCCACATGATGAGGAACATGATGATGAGAATGATGATGAACATGATGATGATGAACCTGATGATGATGATGAACATGATGATGAAAATGATGATGAACATGATGATGATGAAAATGATGATGAACATGATGATGATCATGATGATGATGATGACGATGATGATGAACATCACCATCATCATCAGCGTCATCATCATCATTTTCACGTTCATCACATCCCCAGCATCTGCAGCAGTTACCATGACAATCATGACAACGCATCTTCTGCATTTCCAGTCGGGTCTAACGGGACACTTGAAACGTATATAAAAAAGAAGAGCGCCACGGTTTTGATGATGAACATGATAAGGAACATGATCCTGCTTTCTTGTCATGTTCATCATGAGGATGCGCATCGGGATGATGATGATAAACATGATGAGGAACATGATGATGCAAATGCTGATGCCGATGATGAACACGATGATGATGATGATGATGAATATGATGACGATGATGATGATGATGATGAACATCATCACTTTCATCATCATGTCCATCATGATCATTTTCATCATGTTCATCATCAGCATCATCATCATCATCAGTTCATCATCATCATCATCACCATCATCATTTTCGTCATCATGTTCCTCATTATGTTCATCATCATCATCATCCTATCACTGCACATCCTCAGCATCACCAGCAGTTAGCATCATCCCCAGCATCAGCAGCAGTTGTCATGACCTCTGCGTTTCCAGTCGGGTCAGAAGAGCGCCGTCATCATTTTCAACATCATGTTCATCATACTTGTTGCTTGAATTTGTACCCGTTTGATCAACACACCACTACTCCATCATCATAATCATCATTTTCATCATCATGATCATCATCATTTTCCTTTTCATCATCATCAGCAGCAGTCATCATGACAATCATGACAACGCATCTTCTACACTTCCAGTCGGGTCTAACAGGACGAACATGATGAGGAACATGATCGCTTACTTATCATGTTCATCATGAGGATGCGTAGTGATGATTATTCATCATCGTCATCGTCATCATCATTATCATTTTCATCATCATCATCATCATGTTCATCATCATCATCATCATGTTCATCATCATCATGTTGATCAGCATCATTTTCATCATCATGTTCATCATCATCATCATGATCATTTTCATCCTCATCCTCATGTGCATCATCATCATCATGTTCATCATCATCATCATCATCATCAACATCATCATCATCATCATCATCATCATCATCATCATCATCATCATCATCATCATTTTCACGTTCATCACATCCCCAGCATCAGCAGCAGTTATCATGACAATCATGACAACACATCCTCTGCATTTCCAGTAGGGTCTAACGGCACACTTGAAACGTGTATGCCACAGCCCGAAGGCTGTGGCAGCCACAGCCCGAAAGCTGTGGCGGCTACAGCCCGACGACTGTACCAAAGCCACAGCCCGAAGGCTGTGGCAGCCACAGCCCGAAAGCTGTGGCGGATACAGCCCGAAGACTGTACCAAAGCCACAGCCCGAAGGCTGTGGCAGCCACAGCCCGAAAGCTGTGGCAGATACAGCCCGAAGACTGTACCAAAGCCACAGCCCGAAGGCTGTGGCAGCCACAGCCCGAAAGCTGTGGCAGATACAGCCCGAAGACTGTACCAAAGCCACAGCCCGAAGGCTGTGGCAGCCACAGCCCGAAAGCTGTGGCAGATACAGCCCGAAGACTGTACCAAAGCCACAGCCCGAAGGCTGTGGCAGCCACAGCCCGAAAGCTGTGGCAGATACAGCCCGAAGACTGTACCAAAGCCACAGCCCGAAGGCTGTGGCAGCCACAGCCCGAAAGCTGTGGCAGATACAGCCCGAAGACTGTACCAAAGCCACAGCCCGAAGGCTGTGGCAGCCACAGCCCGAAAGCTGTGGCAGATACAGCCCGAAGACTGTACCAAAGCCACAGCCCGAAGGCTGTGGCAGCCACAGCCCGAAAGCTGTGGCAGATACAGCCCGAAGACTGTACCAAAGCCACGCCCGAAGGCTGTGGCAGCCACAGCCCGAAAGCTGTGGCAGATACAGCCCGAAGACTGTACCAAAGCCACAGCCCGAAGGCTGTGGCAGCCACAGCCCGAAAGCTGTGGCAGATACAGCCCGAAGACTGTACCAAAGCCACAGCCCGAAGGCTGTGGCAGCCACAGCCCGAAAGCTGTGGCAGATACAGCCCGAAGACTGTACCTGTGGCAGATACAGCCCGAAGACTGTACCAAAGCCACAGCCCGAAGGCTGT